GGTTGAACGGGATGAGCTTTAGAGGTCCCTTCCAATCCCTAACGTTCTGTGATTCTGTGATTCTGTGATTCTATTGATAGTTTCCTAATTTAAACAAATAGCTGTCTTTTTTCATTACCGTAAGCATTGCCGTCGATAAGAGCAACAACAATTATTTTTGACAATTATTGAGAGTTTCCTAATTTAAACAAATAGTTGTCTTTTTTCATTACCGTAAGCATTGCCGTTTTTTGTATTTTATGTATTTTGAATATAGTTTTGCCTTCCAATTTTTTTGGGGGTTCAAAAAGAGCAGAAGTTCATTACTGGTAAGCTCGTTAAAAGGCGTGAGCAGGCATTTCAGTTCTGCTCTGACTGTGGCACGTAGAGCTTTCCACCTGTCGTCTGCACATTAAACTAACTCCCATCTCAGTGTCTTTTATTGCTGTTTGGCTAGAGGTGGGGTTTTACAGCGTGGATGCTGTAACAAAAGCAGATGTTTGAAAATATGTTGACAGCCATGGAATTTATATTATTTTGAAATTCTTCAGTATTCATTCACCTCAGGCCAAAAAAGGTGTTGGCTTTTGTGGCCGTAGCATTAGTGCTGGGTTAGAATTTTAAGCAAAATTCCGAACAATACTCATAAAAGTATTGTTCTTTGGGACTGTTGGAAAAAATTATGGGAAATTTGTTTGTTGGATTGTTTGTTTTTCATCACTGTTATTAGTTTATTTTTACAAAACTAGTTTCATTTTAATGCTAGCTAGCATTTATATATTGCATAGAGCTTGATAGCCTGGTAGATATTTTTAAGAAAGCTACATCCATAATATTTTTCACCTTTCTTTGCAGTGTTTGCTAGTTCTGAGCCCGTGCCAGGATTCCAGGGAGACACCCTGCAGTTAGCTTTCATCGACCTCAGACAAGTAAGACACTAGTTGTTGTTTTTTATCCTCCTAATTTCCCCTTTTGACCAATGCTGAAGTTATTAAATTCAAGAACCTTTCATGTTTTTGCATTCCCATGTAATTAGTTTTGAAAAGAAGTTATTTGAAGTGTTATTAGTGGCACTATTCCCTGTAATTTAGCATGAACTGTTTCTCCAGTGTGTTGTTAGGGGGCACTGTGCTACTGGTGGTGCTGTTACTTGGATATAAGGTTGAGTTTTGGTCCTGACAATTTTGTAGAGATCCTATGACACCTTTCTGAAGAGTGTACACATTGCCCTGGTGTGTGCTGGCCTGATTCCATTCTGAGCAATTGCTCCTGTTTACAAAACTCTATTCCCTGGAGAGCAGAATTGGGCATGGCATTATTTAGCATCTTCTTTCCTTAATTTGTTACAAGGAACTATTTAAAATTGTTAGAAAGCAGCGTTATTCCAACTGGCTGATCTTTATTCTATATCAACTTCAATTTTTAAGTGCCTTTATATTGGAAGCACTTTTCCACAGTTCTTGCCAGAAGGAAGTTTTTCCAGACTAAAACCTACTTATCTTAATTTCACACAGTTATTTCTATCCCCACTCTGTAAACTCTGACACTCTATCCACCCAAGCAATTAATTTTCAAAAACTTTTCATGCTTGAAGTAAGCTTTTGGAAAGGATTTGTTATTTCACAAAACTGTGAGTATAATTGTCATTTAAATAATGAAACGAGTCGTTGACTGCACACGGAGGGCCTTTAGCTCTCTGCAGATGTTGGTGATATTTTTCAGCACGATTATGAGCCTGTCAAAGTAATCAGAAAAGAAGAGGAATGTAGAAAGAATTCCATACCAAATTATCTGTATAGTAAGAATATTTTTGCTTTTAAGAGTTTAGTAGGTTTTTCACAGCAAGATAATGAAAAGACATTTCAGAAGGGAAAATTCCTGAGGCAAAAGTATTCCAGTTTCTGCTTATATTTAGAAAGGTCTTCATTAAAGCGTCTTTTTAAATGAAAAAGTCAAAAGGTAGAGCTGTCTGTAACATTCTCACAGTAATGTAACAACAAACAATATCTACAATGGGATAAGTGTGGACTATGTGAGGAGGATATAGGATCATGGCCGTAAGATTTGTTCATGTGGTACTTGTACATTAGGAATTCCAGAATTCAGTAGGTAAAGATGTACTCTGCCAGACTTCAAATACCACAAGTCTTGCCTTGACTAGCAGCCTTCCTCTTTTGGATTCTTTTTTATTCTCCTTTTATTATCAATGTTAGAAGTGACTAAACCTCTTCCAATTTGTACTAAGTCAGTTTAGTTCCAGGGAAAGGATGTTGAGAGATTTTGGCACCATTTCTGTCATCCATCTAAGTGGTATAAATCCTTGCAGAGCCTGTGTTCGTTTCAAGGGAAAACGTGATTTCCAGCTATGCAGGAGGGCAGGGTGTGTACATACTTGCTACAGGAAATAAATAATATTTTTGTATGTTTTAAGCACCAACTGTCAGGCAAGTCACATAAAAAGGGGTTATGTTGCTTGTGATAGCTCTCAGTTTATGTTAGCAACTTACATATAGAATTCTCTTGATGCAAGTAACGCTTTAGAGAGGGTGCTCTCTATGTCATGGGATTCTAATCAATTTCAGATGCTTTATAAACAGCATAAGTCTGGGCAACTTTCTTTACGTGCAGTTGGAGCTTGTAGATGTAGAACAGTTCCAGTATATTTGTTTTGATTTTTACTATATTTCTGTGTGCCTCACCAAAAGGCATTGCAAACACACATTTAAAACATTTGCCATTTAGTAAGGATTCGCAGTGTTTTTCCTCTCTTCCTTATTTGTGATCCATTTCTATCTTAATAGGGTGGATGACAGTTCTTTTCAAGAATACTTAGAAAGGCAACAGAGCCTTTTTCAGAAAGTTCTTATAAAAGGTCATGCTTCTGGTTTTTAGTTTGAATTTGATACTTCTTCATGAATTGCAGGATATGAAAGATAAGGAAGTAGGTCCAGTGGTCAGGTTTTACCTGCCCACCCGGACTGTGCCCTGAGGTCAAACTCCTGATATTGGCTGTTTGGTACAGAGGAGCTGATGACAGGTAGGGGCTGATACAAGGGGGAAAGCTTGAACCGTATCAAAGCTAAAAGGCAGGAGATTTGGGACTCAGTGAGAGACTGTAGCTAAAAGATGGATCAGCAGGATTGCCCTCTTCTTAAAAAGCAGCTGACCTGCAAGGGAAAAGACTTTATCGTCCTGCCAATCACATGGTTGCTAATGGAAGCCAGTTATCTCAACAACAGCTTACTCTCTCTCTCTGTTGTACTGGAGCAATCTGTAAGATTAATGAGGATTGGGCAGTAGAATATTGTAGCACATTTTACTAAAGAAGTAAAGTCACTTACAAGGAGCCAGCTTGGAAGACAGAGAGGGAAGAGCTATGGGCTGGGATAATTACTATGGGGGGAGGAACAGCTTTGGAAAGAATTGACGTAGGTATTTTTGTCCCGACAGTTCTTGATCCTCTGTCTTTCCCTGGAGACAATGTATGGACAGCATGTTGTCCCCAGCAAGCCCACTACTTTCTTCCTTCCTTCCACAGACCTAGAAAAGCAAACAGAAAGAGTTGGCGTGAGAAAGAGTTGCTTCTAGGAAGAGAAGAGTAGTTAGTAGCAGAAAGCTCTAAGAGGCCAGGAATCACGAAGGGGCAGGCACTTACCAACATCCCCTTTGATAAGCCACCTCCTTCTCCTTATGCTGTCCCCTCTTATGCTCTTGTCATATTTAACATGCTCCTTAAAGGTCTTAGTATTCTGTAGAAACCATCATCAATAAAGTTTTTTCGTGCTATTCCCATAACTGCAGTGTCTGAGTATGTTACAGAGGTGACTTGGTGTGGCTGGCTAATCACACATGGTGCTTACTAATAGAGAATCACATGGTCGTGATCACCTAGAAACTTGCAGCTCCAGCTAGGTTAGGAGCTCCTAAAGCAGCAAGCAGTTGCCGATAGAATTGAGATAGATTCATGGTTCTGTGCAGCTGCATTAATTGTGTCATGCCTCATGCCACTTGTCTTAGCGTATGACCTGAGGTCATACCTATGTGCACCCTTTCACCCCATTTACTTAAAGCCACTGAGGGGCAGGCCAGCTCAGCAAGGCAATTATCAAAGTGGTATGTCCTGCTTTAAAGATACTGGTCTCTGCCATCTCATGAAGATGACCCAGCTCTCCTGCGACCTGCATTGCTCTCTGAAGATAATCTCTTGTTACTGTCTATATAGGGAGCCTGGGTAAATACTGCAGTGGCCCAAAGTGAGGTGGAATGAACTTTGGGGATTTTGCTACCTATTCAGATCCTAGGTCAATTGGAATTAACCTTCAAAAGTAAACAGGTCTTAGTTCATCCTACTTGAATTAGTCTCTGAGGAAGCTCAGCCTCCGACACAAATTAGTTTTGTCCTGGTTATGATATGTTCTTTTGTGGCTAAAGACTAGGGCTACAGTTCTGCAATGTGAGGCAGTTTCTTGGTTGTCCTGGGCATAAATACTGTGAGGAAAAGGCCTTAATCTTGTGATTTGTGCATTATTCTTTGGAGAGCTAGTGTAGTGAACTGAAATTATAACCTCATGGTAGATTGAGAGGTCATCAGTTTCTATCCTAGGGCAAATTTCCTGATTCTTAGCCAATTGAATGGTAACAAATGCCTATTCTTGAAATCAAATCATTGCCTGCAGAGTTATAACCTAAGCTGCAAATGTAGCCTGACTTTTTTTCACTTTTGACTTCACAAGTAATTTCTCGTGTTTCTCTCCACCACGAGCACTACTTCAGTTTCAAACAGACCTTCTTCCTCTACTGTCTGATTCCAAAGCATAATTTACATTGACAGATTCTTGGGTTGCTTGTCCATTTATTTTGTAATGCATTTTTTGGCATACTGTTGGTGAGAAATATTGCTAAACTTCTGAACTGTAGTGCTCATGCAACAGATGTAAGTTTATTTGAAGGAGAAAATTGTTACTAGTGCTTAGTCCTCCTCTTTCTTCCTTGCTTCTTATTCATCACTAAGAGGTGATACTGTCCTTCTGATGAACTCAGAAGTAACTTACTGTAGGTAGGAACTGTGTAACAGATCACTGGACTTCAGTCCCGCCACAGGATAGTCTGGCACTAAGGCAGGCTGACAGCTCCATCTTGCCCATTGTTTTGTTTGCAGTGCTTAATTTGAATTTATTTCCTGTGGTCGAAGCTGCATTTCAGCTCCGGCTTGTCTCAGATTCCCCCAATATGCAGCATGCCAAAGCTCTCACCATCTGTTCCCTGTGGAGAACGTTCTTGAGCCCTTCAGCAGACCTTGGAAAACATGTTGCAGCCTCTTGCCAAACCTGTCCACCGTGAGTCCTGGATGTTGAGGGCTCTAAAGGTGGGCTGTGGCTTCCTTCACAGGCTGCCTGGCCTTTGAAGTTAGTAGGGTTCACTCACCCCTGGCCTCTTCTTCAGAGAAGAGTCTTGAACTGAAAAAACATCAGGATTTTCCAAGAGGGAGAAGTCCCTAACAGTATGTTTAGGAGTAAGTCTTGAAAACTTCAGAGTTTAGAGAGAAAAGTAATGCTCTCTTTCATAAGGCAACAGTTTGAATTTTTAATTAGTAAGTAGTATAGAATATTTCATCTTTTGCTTCCTGAGGGAAATTGAGTTGAGACTTTCATCTTCACAGAGGCTCTTTCACAATGCTTATCGATCCCTTTCCCCCACCATGCACTCCCCGGCCTCTCCGAACAAGCAGAGGAGCATGTTACATCTGTAACACGAAGCCCAGCCTCAGGGTGCTGTGTAATGGGATTTGCGCTTCTCTAGTTTTCAGTGCAATGCTGCTTATTCAGCTAAAGAAAGGAGCTCAGATTTCAGACAGCAACGAAACAGGAGTTGCACCTCTCTGGATTTCAGACCGCAGATCCTCATTTTGCTGGGGGAGGAAGGCAATGCT